TCCCATTTCTTTCTGGTTGCAATTCAAAGTGCTGGGCATCATCTTTAAAGTCCTATATCGCACAGGGCCAGGTTTCTTCAGGACTGCCTTTTCCTAAGGATTATCTAGTCATCCGACCAGGTCAGATAAGATGGGCACGCTCCAAATCCCTACCCCTAAATATTGAGAACCAGGAAGCTTGCCTTTTTCTATGGCTGCCCTATGGAACACTCTGCCCCCAGAAGTTTGGCCAGCCTCCCCCTGGAGAAAATATTAAACAACTACACATTAAACGTTTGACTTGGCTTCAGATTTTTGTTGTTGTTAATTGTTTAGCTTTATAATAGTAACAATGGTTCGGTGTGTTGTTTTAACTTTTGATTGGGAGCCTCCCCAGATTGGTTATAAGATAGTGGCTATGTAAATGTTTTAAATAAACCACACGATTTAGAAACACTACAGTTAGGATGTTAAGGATCTTAAGGATTCAATTTGAAATCTTTCTTCTTCTTCTTCTTCTTCTTCTTCTTCTTCTTTTTCTTCAGCGTTTGTCTCGCGCTCGGGCGAGGTCCGCTAATGAAATCTTTCGATGTAAAATATTCATTTTAAACTGGTCTTTTGATCTATTCCTGTGGCTAACACCAAGACACTATCAGCAACGTTCAATTAAAAAAAAATATAATAGCCAAAAACTGATCATCAGAATGTAGGTATAAACCTGGTTGGGTTCACATTTTGTGCTAAACTATAATTTGATGACAAGTTTGCTAAGTTGTACATTTTGGCTGATAGAGAGTAATGCCACATCCAGCTAAGTCAAAACTATCAATCATTATTACTTGGTATGATATTTTATTTGGAGCGTTGAGCCCTTTAAAGTTTTACAGTGGGAATTACATTCAAGATTCACTTTTAGTATTTCCGTGGTCAAAAGGATCAGGTAGGAAATAGTAAATGCTTTTGCTTACTGTTCTGAAGCAGATCTTTGTTAGAATAAATCATTCAGGAATTAATAATCTGAACACCTATACAACAAAAGTATTCATTTCTCAGTTTACCTTCTTCACTATTACATTTTGTCCTTACCATAATAATGCTTGTATGAACTGAAGCCAAATAGAATCTAGTCAAGGTCCTTGCACACAACTAATGTTGATACTGAAGATACCTTTAAACTCTGAACATCCCCTGAGCTACGCAAAGATAAACAGAGAGATGAAAGACAGGCAAGGAAAGGTCACAAGGAATTTTATAGTCGTCTCAGGAAAATTTGGAGAACTCAGCAAAGAACAAACCTGGGGACATAACTGAGATACACTCGCTTTTACTTCTTAATTATCAACCTGGTCTTGTTTATTATTTATTTTATTTTTACCTCCTCTTTATAATTTTTATAAATAACTCCTGGTGGTGAACATAGCAATAGCACTTAGCAATAGCACTTAGACTTATAAACTGCTCCACAGTGCTCTCTAAGCGGTTTACAGAGTTAGCCTTTTGCCCCAACAAGCCGGGTCCTCATTTTACCAACCTCAGAAGGATGAGGAAGGAGGAGTCAACTTTAAGCCTGGTGAGATTCAAACCGCCAAATTGCAGTCAACTGGCAGTCGGCAGAAGGAGCCTGCAGTACTGCACTCTAACCACTGTGCCACCACGGCTCATAATAGAAACATCCACTTGATTGGTATCAACTATAGTCTGAAATATATTTTCTTCCCGGGCAATAGTCTAAATTAGACGCGTAATTTTTGAATTGTTTTCCCCTTCCACCATTTCGGAGTTCTTTGCAGGAAAATAAGAGATGTTACTAAATATAAGAGATATTATTGAGTGAATCCAGCTTGGCAGCCTCATGCATTTGCATCATGAACAAATTTTGATCCGTAGAAAGCTCCTGGGATTTTAGCCCTGGGTTTTAAAGCGTTCTTATGTTGACATATAAGTTTTAACTTTCTCCCACGGGATATCAATGACTGCAGCACCTAAGGAGGGTATTTTGTTAAGGCTCTGTAAATATCCCATCCCTCTGTCCTTTCAATGTGGACATTTGAACTGTTGCTTAATAAAGCTCTTATCTGCTCCACTCTTGAGCAGGAGGGAGTCTGTTTGTCTAATAGGAAAACCATCCAGGAACATTCCTGATTTTGTTACTGTGGTTGTAATTTATTGATTATAAAGATAACCTTTCCAGCATACCACCGGCCAGCTGTTTTGATCTCAGAACCCCATCATCCAAAATGCTCATCACCCCGTTCAGAAGTTCATGATTGCCCAAGGAACATGGTAGCTGAGTTCCATTAAATCTGGAAACATTGGATGGAGGAAGGCTGGTGAGAAAACATTGAGCCTGCTGAGATTTGAACTACCAAAATGCTGGTAGCTGGCAGTCAGCAGAAGTAGCCTGCAATACTGCACTCTAACCACTGTGCCGTGGCTTTTACATACTTGCAGTAATACTCCTTCCTCCTCCTGTTTTCCCTACAACAACTATCCTGCCAAGCGAGTTGGGCTGAGAGAGAGAGAGAGACAGCATGACTGACCCAAAATCACCCACCAGCTTTCATGCCTAAGGGAAGACTCTAACGCAGTCTCCTGGTTTCTAGGCCATCACCTCAATGACTACACAAAACTGGCTCTTTCGATAGTATGTTTTCTTCCAATAATCAGTGATTTTGTCTAAAAAAAAAAAAATAGCAGTCCACCTCACAGAAAGAGTTGCTAATTCCTCTCAATTCAAACGCTTGGTATATACACCCCACATCGCTCAATTATCCTCTGCACAAGTAAGAAGTACAAGTATCTGCCACAGTAGTCTTATAGAAGTTGAATGGGCTTAGTAAAAGATCAAATCTCCTTAGAAACCCCAAATCATGCTGACATCCTTGAAGGAAAAGCGAAACAAAAGCATAATAGGACTCTTCCGTTCAATCTTGTCCAATTCTCAGAAACTGCCTAGGCAAGTTTCTGCAATTTTCTTGGCAAGGTTTTTCAGAAGTGGTTTAACATCACCTCCTACTCAGGGTTTACAGAAAGTGACTGGCCCAAGGTCGGCCCTCTGGCTAGAACTCACGGTCTCCCAGTTTCTAGCCTCATGCTTTAACTACCATGGAAATCTGGCTCTAAATGGACTCTGCAGCACTTCAAATCCCAAGGACTCTGCAGCACTTCAAATCCCCCAAGGGGAGAATAAGCTTAAGAAGACACTGAGGTATAAACGCAGTACTGCCTGCAACTCCTTAAAGCAACTGTGTATTTTTCAAGGATTATGCTGCTTGTCATGTGATCCTGGAAAAAAGACACATTTCCTTTAAATCAGATGTAGAGGGGTCTTATTTTCACAACCCTGCAAATTCAAAAAGCACCTTTTTGCCTTGGAATCTGTAGACTCCCATACAGCTTAAATCTGTGGTGAACCTATGCAGTGCATGGCACAGTTGGCACATAGAGCCATTAGTGTGGGTACGCGAGGCCCAGCCAAACTTACCTGCATTGCGCATGCGCACGCCTCTCAGCTGATTTTCGGCCTGTTTGGAGCCGTTTTCGCATTCCCAGAGACTCGAAGGAAGCCTCTGCAGCCTCAGAAGGCCAAAAAACGGGCCTTTGGAAATACCGGAAGTGCCCAAACAGGCCCGTTTTCAGCCTCCCGAAGCTGCAGATGCTTCCTTTGAGCCTCCGGGAGAGCGAAAACGACCTCAAACAGGCCGAAAATCAACTGGGAAGCATGCGCATGTGCACTGCAGGTAAAGGGACAAGGGTGTTGTGCATGCATGAGCAGGGGAGCAGGGCGCATTGCATTGTGGGTTTGGCACACCACAACAAAATGGTTCGCCATCACTGGCTTAAATATAAGGGTTTGTTGTTTTTTTTAAAGAAAAGTGTGTCTTTAGAGAGAAAAGAGCAAGAGTGCATTGTCAACAACTAAATATAACATTAACCAGCCATTCTCAATTAAGTTTCTAGGGATGACCTATTTTATTTCAAAATGTATGAGGCATCCCAACTCAAATGGTGTGACTCTGGGAAGTATAAAATAGTAATAACAGGAATATAACAACAAACAAGAATTATAACATAAAATGCCACATAAAATGTCATATAAAATGACAACCAAGCACACAACCAAGAAAGGGAGGGCATCCCCACTCTCTAATGCCTGGGGGAAATTGTTAAGCAGTTAGGGTTTTCCCAAAGGCCAGGTGTGTAAGGGTCTGTCATATGCTGAATCTGGGACAACCACAGAAAAGGCACATCACCCAAGTCCCATAAGATGACAAGATTTCAAAGTAAGAACATGGGGCACACCCTCCCTGTGGGAGCTGTGAGGCAAACAGATATTCTTGGGAGAAAGCAATCCTTCAAGTCGCCTGGTCCTACGCAGGCATACAGCAAAATATATACATCATTGGCGAAGATTATATCATTATATCAGAGCGATAGAGCCATAGAATCACAGAATCGGATATAGTTTATTCCATCTATGACGTATCTTGTACGTGGATATGGGCATCTCTTTTTTTAGGAAATAGCCGCCAACAGGAATAACACAACAGACATAAGCCTTTCACTTGAGAGACCTGGGGGAGGGGGGAGCACATTCAGATGACAGGCAAGGCTTCCATCAATCAGAATAAGAGCTAGAAGGGACCTTGGAAGTCATCTAGTCCAACCCCCCCCCCCTGCTCAAGCAGGAGACCGATATACCATTTCAGGCAGGTGGCTGTCCTATTCTTTAAAAAAAAACCTCCTGCGATGATGAAGCTTGCAATTATACATATACATATATACATATGTACATACATATATATACATATATATGGAAGTCACACCAACCCACTTTTCAAGTCCAGTTGCAGGTGCCACCCAGGTTGCCCTGGTGGGGATCCACACCTGTTACCGAGCCTTTCCCCGTCCCCACCCTCTTCTTATCCCACTCCACGTCCATCCTCCTCCTGTCTCTCTTTTCCCTTCCCCTCCACAACCAGGGGGTGAGGAGGTGGGGGTGGGGTGGGGGTGGCTCTCACCAGGTAAAGGGTCCCATAGATGCGGAGCGACTCTCCAAACGCCCCTTGGGTGATGTGCACGAAAGCTCGCCCGCAGTGGGGGTGCCAGGTGTGCCCGATCTCGTAGCAGCTGTGGGGGATGGATTTGCTCAGCGCCGCCATCTTGGGCCAGCAGCTGGACCCGGGGGAGGAGGGGAAGGTGAGGGGGGGACGCGCTGTGGGAGAACGGCGAGCGCGCACGCGCAGGCCCCGGGAGGCCGAAGCAAAGACGAGGAGGACGGCGGCGGCGGCGGCGCGAGACAGCGAGCGCGCGCCAAGGAGAACAACTGCGGCTGCCCGGGGTTACTCCGGATCAACCACCTTCTTAGCCCTCCCTCCGCCCCTTTGCTTTGCCGGCTCGCGTGAGCCCCGCTCAGCCAATCCCGAGCCGGCTTTCTCCCCCGCCGGGTTGGAAGGGGCGAGGGTAGGGGTGCGGGGGAGTTAGAAAGTGGGGGGGGGGGGGGGGGGGGGGGGGGGGGGGGGGTGTAGGGGGCGGCGGCGGGGAGGGGGGCGGGAGCGGGTTAGCAAGGTCGGAAAACGTGCAGCAAAAAAA